AAAAACAAAAAAAGAAATGAAAGAGGAAAAATCACAACAGATTTTGCCAAAACCAAGAAGGATCATTGGTAACTGCTTTGAGAACCTGTACTCTAGTAAAATGGAAAATCTGGGCTGGGTGTGGTGGCAAAGGTCTACAGTCTCAGCACTCAGAAGGCTGAGAGAGGAGGATCACCATAAATTTAAGGCCAGCCTGGGCTTCACAGTGAGTTCAAGGCCAGTGTGAACTACACAGTGAGAACCTGTCGCAAAAAAACAAAAATAAATAAATAAATAAAATGGAAAATCTGGAAGAAATGGGTAGATTACTAGATACATATGAACTACCAAAGCCAAATACAAGAACATATAAAAATCCTGAATAACGCAGTATCAGTTAAAAAAACTGAAGAAATAAAAAAAAATAAATAAATAAAAAATAAATTAAAAAACCTACCAACTAAGAAAAGCCCAGGTCCTGAGGGATTCACTGTCAAATTCTACAAGGACTTTAGAGAAGATCTAACACAATACTCCTCAGACTCTTCAATGAATGGAAAAAGGAAGCAGTACTCCCCAGATCATTCCTGGAAGCATTACCCTGACTCCAAAACCAAGAAAGGACCCAACCAAAAAAGAGAACTACAGGCCAGTCTCTTTCATGAACAGATACCAGAACTACTCAGTAAGATACTGACAAACAGAATGCAGCAGATCATTAAAAAAGATCATATATCATGACCAAGTAGGATTCATTCCTGGCATGCAGGGATGGTTCAACACATGCCAATCAATAAATTTAATACACCACATGACAGAAGCAAGGACAAAAGTCACATGATCACCCAACAAATGCAGAAAAAGCATTTGACAAAATCCAACATGTATTCATGGTAAAAACCTTGAAGAAAATAGGTACAGAAGATCTTTATCTTAACCTGATAAAGCCCACATATGACAAGCCAGTGGCCAACATTATATTAAATGGACAAAAGCGGAAAGCTTTCCCTCCACAATCAGGAACAAGACAAAGATGTCCACTATCACTGCTCCTGTTCAATACAGTTCTTGAAACATTAACCAAAGCAATCAGGAAAGACAGAGAAGTAAAAGGGATGCAGATAGAAGTTAAATTATCATTATTTGCACATGAAATGATCCTTGACATAGAAGACCTCAAAAACTCCACCAAAAGACTCCTAGAATTAATAACCAAATTCAGTAGTGTAGCAGGACATGAAGTCAACACTCAAAATCAACAGTACCCCTGCACACCAATAATAAACTCAGGGAAGCAATGTTTTTCTCAGTAGCATCAAGACAAATGAAATACTCACGAATTAACCTAACCAAGGAAGTAAAAGACCTCTATGACAAAAACTATAGTAGCCTGAAAAAGGAGATCAAAGAGGCCATCAGAAAATAGAAAGATATTTCCTGTTCCTGGATAGGCAGAACCAATACAGTAAACATGGCCACACTTCCAAAACTGTTACATGGATTTAATACAATCTCAATCAAAATATCAGTAGTATTCCTCACAGAATGAAAGAAAGCAATACTAAAATTCATATGGACCCAGAAGAGACCTAGAATAGCAAAAGCAAATCTGGGCAACACAGGCAAGGCCGGGGGCAATCCCATACTTCAAGTTATACTACAAAGCTACAGTGATTAAAAACAGCATGGTACTGACAAAACAAAACAAACAAAAAAACCAAAGCAAGACTGTGGGGATCAATGGAACAGAATAAAGGATGCAGAAACAAGTAAATCTTTGAAGCAGTTTATATGTTCAATAACAGATAAATGGATAAAGAAAATGTGGTATTTATATACAATGGAGTACTACTCTGACATAAAGAAAGAAAAACTTGAGACATTTGTAGGAACATGGGTGCACCTTGAGACCATCTGTTAAGTGAAGTAAATCAGACACATAAGCTTAAATGTTGCATGGTTTCTCTTATATAAGAAATCCAGTATACAAATAAAGTACAAAATAAGCCAGGCGTGGTGGCACACATTTGGAACCCCAGCACTTAGGGGGCTGAGGCAGAAGAACTGCCTTGAGTTTGAGGCCAGCCTAGGCATGGGCTACATGGCAAGCATGGGCTACATGGCAAGATCCTGTCTCAAAAAACAACAAAACACACAAGGTCGTGAGTTCGGTTCCCGGTACCGGAGAAAAACCAAAACAAACTAACAAACAAACAAAAAAAAAACAACAAAACAAAACAAAATGCACAAAATAAAAGACAGACAATTAAAAAAAAGAACGAAGTTATCGTAATGCAGATGGTTAATGTATCTAAAAGTGTGCTTTGCTTTAGTACAACTGTTTTTTATGATTTGAGGCCTGTTAAGTCTGGCCATTAATCTGTGTTTATGATAAGTAATTTGATAAAGACTTGTAAAATAAATAAATAAAACCTGACATTGGCAAGAAAAAAGACAGGAAAAAGAAACAGGGGTGGAAGGAAAGGAAAGAGAAAGAATTGAGATGTAATTTGTCCATGCACCGACTCCGCATAATAAATAGATGTAATCACGAGGCGCTGCAAACATGCACGAAGGGAAATTTTAAAGACCTCCACAAAACTCTGGGAACATTCCGTTACTGTGTTGCATTTTCACAACAAAAGCGACAAACCAGCACAAATTTTTATGTGTCCACATTGTTAAATAAACAAGTGAACTAAAATACTTGGTTTTATTCAGATAATCTCATTTGGAAAAAGAAAAAAAAAATCCTACAGATGGAAGACACATTCTGTGCCCTAAAACATATATAACTGGCATTTAAAATAAAATGAATAAAAATTATCTATCTTCCCCCAAATGGCCAAGACAAAAACTAATGGGAAAGGGCACAGAAACCTCTCAGTTCAAGGCACGGCTTTCGCTTACATTCTACAGCCCATGGCAGCAAACCAGGGCAGGCTGCTTTCTTCTTAAACTCACTGCGTTCCAGGAGTATCTAATCCAGCTGATGAACCATTCATTTCCTGGCCGGCTCCTCTCATCTGGATGTCTCCCTGCCCTTCTCATACTAGAACAAACACACTGCCATTTGTAACTGCGCTAAGCTTTTAACCCACGCCGTATCTCCCTTAAACCTTGTCCAGAATAAAACTCTCTTCCTTCCACACCTTCCACTTCTACGACTGCGGCTCTGTTTGTGTCAGCGTGCACTCTGCTGTACTACTGCACTGGATTCTTCGCAAGTCTTCCTGTCTTCAGTCGCACTCACAGCTCCCAGCCGCCTGAGCTTCACCGCCACAGACACACCGCTAACAGGCAAAGCTGCTCATGTTATCCCACTTCCGTTTTACCCATGTACACATCTTCAGGCTTGAATAGGTTAGATTTGTTATCTAGAGAATACAGTGTAAAATCTTTTACGTGGCATTTGAGACCCTTCACATTCTGGTCCTTACCTACCCATTCCTTCTCTATTGCTCCCCGCTGCCCACAGACTTTACATTTAACCAATACCACAATGGCTCCTACCCTTCCAATCTCCACCTCCCTGTGTGCTTCTGCTTTAACTCCTGACAAGCCTCCCCTGCAATGGGTCCTATTTGGTGACAGTTCCATACTCTTCAGGTAGAATTAATGTCCCGTCACTTCTGTCGCTTCTGTAGTTTATGTCCGCCCCCGGTTTTCTGTGGTGCTAGGACATCACACCCAGGGCCTTGCTCATGCCAGGCCAGTGCTCCACCACTGAGCCACGTCCCTCGCTTTGTACAGACCTTGATGACAGCGAGTCTTATACTGTTTTGTATACAGCTGCAGCCTCAGCTTTGTACATATCTTTGTGATGGTAATTATTTTATTAAGTTTTATTAAGGTGTAATTGGCAAACACTGTGTATACTTCAGGTGCACAAGATGATCTGATCTACATGTACACTACGAGATGATTTCCACATATCATATTGCACTTAGCATGGCGCAATACCTGACACAGAAAATATTTACTGAATGTAGCGTTTTGATTGTGGGAGGAAAGAAACTTAGAAGATAAATGTATAATGACTCATAATTGTTAAGAAGGATGAGAGAAAAACAAGCAAAATAATCTCTACCCTTCATTTCTATAATATAAACCATATGAAGGCAAGGTCGGTCCTCATTACACTCCATCACCCCGCTGGTCTTTTCGGTTTGTAACTGCACTGCAGCCATCAGCCACACCGAGGAGAGGGAGGTGAGACCGCCAGCAGCCCGCAGGTTGCCCTGTCCTCACGTCGCTCTCTCACGGATGACATAGGGACCTCCTTCAGCAGAGCCCAAGGGACCCGGACACAAATCAGACCCAGCCGCAGCCCTGCCACTGTGTCTCTTAATAACGAACTTATTCCCCCACTTGTAATTACACCTAAGACTAAGGAGACAGATAAAGCACGCTTTTGAGAAAATGTGACACCATTCGGTAGAAACACTCCCGAATCTGCACAGGGTTGATCCCGCAGACCCGGGGCAAAGGCTCACATCGGGTCACTTCAGAGCCAGCTGCGTCCCAGTTACCTGCTATTTTGATATTCATGTTGTTATCCAGCAGAAGATTTTCAGCCTTGAGGTCGCGGTGCACAACCTTCCGACCATGACAATAATCGACAGCGGAAAGGATTTGCCAGAATTTTCTCCTGGCTTCAGACTCATTTAACCGGCCATGGTTAGCAAGGTAGTCTATGAGAGAAGAGAAAATTTAGGATTATTCACCAAAATAAAATAACCCCAGTATCAACCTTCAGGATTTTTTCCTTTTTTTGCCTCTATCATTTTTTTTAAATGAACAATTAGTGTGCAAATGATACACAGTTTTCTAAGTTTCTTGCCTTGGAAGAAGTAAAAGTCCAATCCTATCTTACTGGAGTCCAGGTGAATAGTAAGAGCCCAGTATCAGGTAACAGCAAGTGGCTTAAAAGTCATAGCTCATTCAAAGTGATTTCCCAGCTACTCCGGGGGCTAAGGCAGGAGGATTTCAAGTTCAAGCCCAGCCTGGGTAACTTACTGAGTGAGATTCTGTCTCAAAAAAAAGGGCTGGGGACACTGCTCAGTGCAAAGGTCCTGGGTTCAATCCCTAGCGATGCACAAACATAAAACTCACCACCACAACAAAATGCCAGTTCAGTGTGAAGGGTCTGGGTTCAATCCCCAGTGGGGGAGTCGGGCGGGGTTCATGTTAGGCTCTTCTTGTGTTTTTTTCCCCCACTATGGGGACTGAACCCCGAACCTCAAGTATGCTAAGTAAGCACAGTCTACCAATGAGCTATGTCCCACCCTTTTTTTATTTTACTCTGAAACAGAACATTACTAAGTTGCCAAGGCTGGGTCACACTTAAGATCTGCCTGCTTCAGTCTTTCAAGAAGCTGGGATTATAAGCATAAACCCCCTGTATTTCTGCTGAAAAATTTGAGTATTCCTCCTAGACACATTTAAAAAATAAAACTTATGGAAGAACATGGATGAATTCTCTGGCATCTCATCAGACAGTGGACATTTTGTGTTCTGTTTTGTTTTTTGAGACACAGTCTTACTCTGTAATTCAGACTGGCCTTGAACTCACTATGTAGCCCACCCAGGCTGGCCTCAAACTTGCAGCAATCCTCCTGCCTCAGCCTCCTGAGTGCTTGGATTATAGGCATGCACCTAACTAGAGACATCTAGTTTTAAACACTGTTCATGTACTTACTATACAAAGCACTAGCAATATGAGAGATGGTGGACCTGGAAGTAGCTTAAGTAATTCACACCCTGCTCTGTTGAAAGGAACAATTCTAGTCTACCTAAGAACATATGGATTTGTTCTCTAGACCAAACACTGTCATGATAGCCACAGCAGATGACTGAGAGCTGTGACTATAAGGCAAACACATTTTGCAAGATAAGAGCACCTTGGCTCTCTTTGTGTACTGTTATGATCTCTATTAAAGCAGTTTACCAAATATCGATTCTACCCATACTATGTACATAAATTCAATAGAACTAGATATTATGACTCACTCCACTTTTACCAGAAGCTCTAATAGTCCTCTGAAATAATTTTCTAAAGGTGAAAGAGATCAAGTCACATTTTAAAAGGCTTCTTTAGGAAGCTGTGAAGACTGCCATGAGTTCAAGGCCAGCCTGAGCTCTGTAACAAGACTCTGCCTCACGGGGGAAAAAAGACTTACTTAGGATAATGATTTTCCTCAGTAAGGAATGATATGGGTAAGTCCATACTCAGTCGCCTTCCTACATTTTCTGCTCTAAGGTATGTAGTTTGTTGGTTTTTAAATTCCATGCCTGTGGCTCACCCCCTTTTCAATTCTTGCTACAGAACTTACTAACACTTGTATACAGCTTTACTGTAAGTGTTATGGTTTGGCCCTTTGATCTCCCCCAAAGACCATGTGCTGTGAAGGTTTGGGCGCCAGCCTGTGGGCTCCTGGGGAGCAGTACGACTTCCAGGAAGCGGGACCTGCTTGGAGCAAGTGGGTCACTGGGGTCTTTGAAGGGCACATTCTGCCCAGGCCCTTTACTCTCTCTGCTTCCCGTCCGCCACACGCTGAGCAACTTTATTCCACCAGGCCTTCTGCCATGGACTTCCTGCCTCACCACAGACCTACAAGCAGTGGCGCCAGCTGCCCAGGGACTGAAAGCTCTGAGATTATGAGCTGAAAACAAGCCTTTCCTCCTTTACTTTTTTATTCTCAATTATTCTGTCACAGAGACAAAAAGCTAACTAACACAAAGCATGTTCATACTGAGACATCTCACTTTATCTTCCCCAAAACAGCTATGATAACTATTACTTTAATTTTCATATTTACGAGAAAGCTGAAGATCAGAGGGATTGAGTAACCTAGCTGAATTTGTACACCTAATAAATGAATTAGTTGATTTGGGACCAGAACCTCTGACTGAATTCTTTTGTAAGTATCTTTACTAGATTCTTGCAGAACGCCTAATTGTCCTTTTGAAACCCTGCTTCTGTGACATTCTGCCTTTAAAAAGTCCCTCATCTGTTGGGTTTTGAACAGTAAGGGGTATCCTTAAATTTTCTGAGAATAAGACCATGTTATCCTCTCTACTCTGCAATGCTTGGCCCTACAGCAAGCATTATAGATACTTAATACTTAGCTGACGCAGGTCTTATCCCGGATGGTAGATGAAATTTCCCATCAACAGTATCATAAAAATGTGTGGTATGCCAGGACAAATGGCTGGGCTATGACTATTCTAACATATTCTAGTTTTTAAGTGTAAAGGGACGTTTTGTCTATTCTTCTGTATTTGCTATTATAAGAAAGCGAGACGGTCAGCTCATGTTTGCCTTTCAGAGCCGGTATAGTAGCCACCGATATTTCTGAAAGAGGAGAAAAGATCGTTTAAAAATAGGTAAAATGTTTAATACAATTGTCCAAACTGCCATCAGAGACCATGTTTAGTAACTGTCAAGCGGACCGTGTGCCTGTGTGTGTAACAGTAAGCCAGCTCCCCCTGTCCTGGAAAAGCTGGGAGACCCACGAGGAAGGGGTGGTCCCTGCAACAAACAGAACCTAGGAGGGGAATGCAGCGTGCTCTGTGAGGAAATAATTTTGATCAGTTTCTTTCTCTTGAAAATACTAAATTAATGTGAGCTAGTGGGAAAGATTTGTGAGACTTCAGCAACACAGAGAAATTTAACAGACTGAGTGTGACAAGTGCAAGTTAACATATATAGAAAAAGACCTCAAACTATGGACACAAAAAACAACCCAGAAGGTACAATGGAATCTACATTTATTGTTTTTGGAAATGATTGGTCCAAACTAGTATTACCTTAGGAAAGAGAAAAGAAATATTTTAAATATTCGTCAGGAAAGGTACTGTCTATAAAACAAGCAAGCCAGGCATTGTGGCTCATGCCTGTAATCCCAGCACTTGGGAGGCTGAGGCAGGAGGATCGTGGCAAGTTCAAAGCCAGCCTGGGCCACATGGTGAGTTCAAAGCCAGCCTGGACTACATAGTGAGACCTTGTCTCAAAAAAACCCAATCCAACCCAACCTAACCCCAAACCAAACAAACAAACAAAAACCACCAAGCTATAGTATAGATTAACTTAAAATAACACAGGAAGCCAAAGTCGTCATATATGAATGAATATATAACACAGAGCATGAGAAAAATAACATATAAATTTCAGAGATTAAGAGGTGATATATTTAAAGAGGTTATCTTTTCATTCTTTATATGCAAACTCAGCAAGTATGCAGGAGTATTCACTTCTTTCCCAACTTTTGTGATTTCTGCAGAACTTCACACTGACTTTTCTAACATCCTCTGAGAATTCGGTAACACAAATAACTGAAGCTGAAACCTGTGACTGCAAGTAGAGCCAGTCTGGGTGGACATCATCTCCCGAGGAGCACTGTGACCAACCCAGCTCAGCACCACAGGGTCCTCGCACTGACATGCAAAAAGCACACCCACGTTTCCCATTGAAAGTTTCAACTATGACGACAGAACAAACCACTGAGAGTAACACCCAGTCTCTACAGCGACTGTCTACTGTGTTTGTTTTCAAATGCAGAGTTTTTTAAAATTATTTTTTTCTGTTTGTATTGGGTATGACTGTTAAGTGAAATGTAATTTATACTTGTTGACTTTAATAACAAAACCTTTTGAGGTTGTATTTGTATGCCTCCGCACCATTTTCCTTCTCTAGTAATTGATTTTTACTATATTTTCTTTTTCTTTTCCTTTTTTAATGTCATGGTCTGCAACAGATTGGACAATTTAAACTCAACATTAATAGTTTGAGACTTACTAGTGCAGAAAATAAATAGGTAATAATAAATTGTGATAAAGCTTAGCATAAAAATAAATATACCCTAATAAATATATCATTTTGTAGATATCTTTGTAAATGTTCTCCCTTTGATGAGTTTCAAGCCTACATAAAAGTAGAGAAAATAGCATAACAAGTCCTCCAGCTTCTAAAGCTATCAATTTTTGGGGGAGAAGGTACTCATGGCCTTTACACTGAGCTACAAGTCCAGCTCTTTTTTGTTTTTTGAGACAGGGCCTTGTTAAATTGCTCAGGCTGGGCTTGAACTTCTGACTTTCCTGCCTCAGTCTCTCAGGTGGCTGGGGTTACAGGTGTGCACCACCACGCCTGGCCGAAAGTTATCAACATTTTGCCATATTTGCTTCAATTTATTCTTTTTTTCTGTAGTAACATAAAATAAACCTTGACATCATTTTATTTCACCCTAAATACTTTTGTATATATCTCTGAAAAAGTCACTTTCTTATATAGCTATAAATATATCATTGTGCCTCACCAAATCAGTAATTATTTAATACCATTTAGTACCCAGTCTAAGTTGAAATAGCCCCAGTTGATTTATTTCAATCAGGATCCAAACAGGATGCATACTTTTGTATTTGCTTACCTTGTCTCTGGCATCCTTTTACTCTGAAATAGTTCCCCTGCTCTCCACTCCCTCCTCCCCAAGCCACTGATTAAAAAGCTAGGTTTCCTGTCCTATGTTCTAGATTTGTCCTCTGCTTCCTCGGGATATAGTTTTACTTATTCTTTAAGATCGCATATCTCCTAAAAATTGGAACTCAAATATAAAGGATTGAACAGATTCATTTTGTGGGGGATGGCAAGAATATGTCACGGCTGCCTTTATTAAGAACAACACAGCATCTGGCT